CCCCCCTCCGTTCCTCCTCCTTCAAGTACACTAGGTCCCGCACGATAACCTCATCTTGGCTGAACCGTGTGACAATGATCTCGAGAGGCGCTGCGAAGAAGACGTTGAACAGCAGTGGGGACATTGAGCATACTGTAGATGTGGATGGCAAATGCGTGTGGAACGCGCTGCGTGCGAAGTCTGCATGTTTGCCTGGATAGAGCAAGGACTCCCAACGAGCAGCAAATGCGGGAAGCGGTTGCCCCCAGAGCATGGGAGATGTTATTGGCGCACCCGATGTCCCTGAGGACTCGACAGCGGTACTCTCAATGGACCAACTTGGGCGGGCCCTGAGTGTGAAGGTACTGCATGTTTTAGGGCATGTCGAACACGGGATGGCTGCGGGGGATAAGACGGTTAGGTAGTTTTGCGATTTAGCCTGGCAAAGTGCGGAGGAATGGGTTGACGTTACCTGGATGTCCTTGCTGGCCTCGGAGTACGGCGTGAACATCATGGTGTGGGAGCCAAGCGCTGAGCACGGCACAGTCCAGGTGTACTCAGGAAACAATACGGCAGGCATGTTCTTGTTCGAGAAAGGACAAAATGGACGAGGAAGGAGATCACTGGATGCATCTACTCTATCGAGAGCACGCGAATCCATGGCTAGCGCACAAGCAAAACCATAACCTCAACCACTTCGACCGTCTGCAGCTTGGACCCGATGCAGTTGCTTCCTTCGTCGAAGTCGTTGCATCAGCGAAGCTGCAACTAGGCATGGTGACCTTGATGACGTCAGCGATTTACACAGCGTTTTCATGACCTCCCTGCCTACTCTGCTGTGTTGGGTACCTTGATCTCGCTTTGCTGTTGCTTTTATTTTTGTACGTCTGGCTGTCTGCCCATCTGCCGCCTCTTTGCCCTGTTTGCTCCGTTACTCCCATGCCCTGGTGCGCAGTGCCTGGTGCTGGTACGTTACCCTTTGATTTTTTCTTTCGGCGGGTGTGGGAAGCGTCCTCCTTTTTTTTTCTGTTATTTTTGTTTTGTTTTATTTTGATCGGTGTCCGAGGGCTCTTTTCTCGAACGGTCGGTGCGATACCTGTTCTTTTCTTTCTATCATTTTGTCTTCTTTTTCCGAGTGGTTTGTACCCTATTCTTGTTTTTTTTGTTTTCTCGCGGCGTCGTATGTGCCGGGTTTTGAGACCACGGGCTCCCCATTGTTTGTGGACTTTAGAGCTAATGTGAGAAACAACAACAACAACAACAAACAGCAGGCGGGAAGGCGGGAGGGTCCTCAATGGTCGGAGAAGAGGAGGACCGTCCCGAGCTCAGCATGGGACCTCTCCCCCGCCGCAGCAACAGCAGTAGCAGCAGCAGTCGGAAGGCGGGGGGAAAGGCTGGAGCTGTAGAGAAAGAAAGGGGAGATCGGGCCGAAAGTCGGAGTGAAGCGACCTACCGCGAGGCAGACAGCGGAGAACAAGAAGCACAAGGCCGGGGATGCATCAGGGAAGCACAAGGCCGGGGTTGCGCCAGGGAAAAAACTCTCAAGGTGGTGGTTGCGCCAGGGAAGCGGAAGGCGGGGGTTGCGCCAGGGAAGGCGGGGGTTGCACCAGGGGAGGGGAGAGGTGCCAAGAAAATGGCAAGACTACACCGAGCGGCTAGAGGGAATCCTCGAAGGCCAACGGCAAAGACCACAATGCCAACTACAATTCCGATGGCAGCATCGGGGGGGGGGGGGCGTAGACCACAAGCAAACCCCGGGCGCCTTCGCTACCATGTCGCAGAACCGGAAGAAACTGGTCACGGCCATAAGAAGATTCCGGAACGGGATGACAACCGGGTGTTCTGACTGACAAAGAGGAGGGCGCTGGGTATGCAAGTACGTTTGTGTTCGGGTAGGCTTTTCTGATGACATTGTCCGCACGAACAGGCGGATCAGAGAGAAGACGATAGATTATGGTAGTGTAAACTTGAGAGTAAAAAAGTGTTGTGGCGTCTACAGAAGTACACGTGTCTTTCTCCCTGCACTTCTTCCTGTCTCCCGCACTCTCTCCCCCCTTTGTCTTTCGTGTGGTGAAAAAAAACATGTCGAAACAGAACCTAGGACTGGCAGACCGGCGAGTAACGTAGCTCCCAGACCCAAAACGGTTCAGCATGTCTTGCAATAAAAAGTAGATATCTTGAACAACGCATGGACAGAAATCATGGACTTCAACCAGTGGCTGTGCCACGATGAGCAGATAGTGAAGACCGCGTCGACGTTCGCGCACTACCTCAAGGGACACAACGCCAAGAAGCCCATCACCCACAGTGCGGGTTTCGTGTATGGTGTCGAAAAGGCTATTCCTACCGAGTCTGATCCTGTTTTTGTCCCGGGCTTGCGTTGGGAAGGCTCGGTGGATAGTTAAGTTATACTTTGTTGTTGTTGTTGTTGTTGTTGTTGTTGTTGTTGTTGTTGTTGTTGTTGTTGTTGTTTTTCACATTAGCTCTATAGTCCACAAAAATGGGGAGCCCGTCGTCGCAAAAAAACGGCACATACGACGCCGCGGGTAAATAAAACATAGGGTACAAATCACTCGGAATAGTGTCGAGACCTTGTATCATGTTCGGTTTTGAAAAACCTCATGTTGTGGGATTTTTTTTTTAGTTGACCCCGCCCCTCTTGCGTGGACAATTTATCACAAATACTTGGCAACTCCAAACTTTGTGGGGAGGGATAAATGGTAGTTGTGTTCACCAATGAAGAAACGACACAGACATACACACGCTCAGCAGTAACCTCGCACTCCATCGTCCACACTAGCAACGTGTTCATTCAGTGGCATTCAGATTGCATGTTCGGTTCCAGTCATGCCATTTTTAGCGGCACATTGCGGCATCCCGTCCCGGGGTGCATTGGTCTCAAGAACGACCTCTGCATCTGCTTGTCATGTTTATCTCGGGGGGGGGGGGGGG